GGGCTCCAGAGCCCGGCACACCTTTGGAAAAGGAGCTTACGGGGCTCCTGAAACCTTTGGGATCCACCGAAAATCTCCAGCCGGAGCCGCGGCTGTGCGGTTTCCAGGACAAACCCTTCACCAGGTTCTTTTGCACCTTTCCTCCCAAACTCCCTTCCCTCCATGACGGCTCCGACTTTTCCCAGCGTTTCCTCCTGCACCATCTGGGCGCTATTTAAAGCAGAAAGGCCCATTTTTGGGGCACTCGATGCAGCCAATTTTAGCACCTGCATTGCCGCAACCTTATGACTCGAGCGCGGAGCAGAGTCCCGCACGGCCGGGTGCAATCCCGCATCCCTGCAAGGACCCGCTGCATCACCCCTCCATCCCGAGGGTTTTGGGATACGTGGCACCCGTGAGACCAGCTCCTGCCTCTCGATGAGCCTGTGGTGCCGTTGTAGGGGTTTTTTTTAAGATATTTCTGGGCAGTTTGCATTATTTTCCAGGGTCTAAATGAGACCAATGGGTTTGTAACCTCCCAGCTTTCTTTTCCTCCCATCCTTCTTGCAGACAACGTTCCAGCTTCCAGCCCAAGGTTGGACGGGGCTTGGAGCAACCTGGGCTGGTGGGAGGTGTCCCTGCCCAGGGCAGGGGGTGGGAATGAGATGATCTTCAAGGTCCCTTCCAACCCAAACCATTCCATGATGCTCTCGAGCTTCCCAGCCGCTCCCTGCTCCTGCAGCGTTAGCGGAACTGCTCCACTGCTCTCCAGGACCAGCTCCTCCCGGACCCCTCCAGGAATTTTATCCAGCCTCAGTTATTCACAAACCCCTAATTTCTCTGCAGCATTTCCCAAGCTGTCCCCGGCCGAGCCCAGACTGCGGTCTCACCCTTCCTGTACTGCTGCTAATTGCAATTACCTCTCCATCACAGCTGAGATCTTCAGGGATAAGAGGTTTTAAGGCAAAAAGGCGTAGAGATCTCAGCTCTCCGTAGCAGACAGCCCTTTCCTTCTCCAAACGGGGCCACGAGGTGATTTCTTTCCTACTTTGTTTTTTCCCCTCCCTATTAATGCTGTCCCTCCGTGCTCATCCTTATCAACCTGACCTACTTTCTGCTTCCTGGAGGTTTCGCTTTGTTTGAGGCTCGGCCTCCCCGGACGCTTCCTAGCTGCAGGATTATTGTTAATTCTCTGTCTTCCAACATTTTGTCAGTCCCTACTTGAAAAGATTCCTGGTGATTAAAAAAAAACCAAACACCCAACCCCTGAATTTATAGGTGAAGGCGCAAGATCTGTTTCTTGAAATCTATAATTAAGCAAATGCAGTGGAGAAGCCACTGTGAGTTTTATTTTAATTAAATAGGAGTTTCCCATCAGTTTGCTGGGGATGATGCTGGTTCCTCCTTCTGCCGACATCCTTAAAATCAAGGGGTGCTGTGTACTCGCAGGACTCGGCCCCGCGGGTTTCAGCATCTCAGTGACCCTCCGGTGGGAGCTCAACTCCAACTCCCCCCCCAGCAAAAAATTATTAGACATTTTTACAAATTTAAGTGCGTTTTTAGAAATTCTGCGCTGCTGCCTTTTGACCTAAAGGGAGACCCCCAAAATCCAACTTTCCCACCCCCTCCCCAGGAGGAGGCTTTCAAACACCGAAAGGGGAATTTGGTGCTGAAATGGAGCTGAAACCGCACCAGGATTTGTGCAGCAGATGATGGCCACGTCTCCGGGTGTCCCGGTGAGCGTCGGGCACGTGCCAAACGCCACATCACCCGGCCCGCTACGACCGGCGGCCGCGCGTGGATGTACCCGCTTCAGCCAGATGTGGCCATTCCAGATGTTCCGTGGCATCCGTAAGGGCTCAGCGGGGAAACACGCCGTCGTCGTCCCTTCTGCCAAGAGCGACCGGCTTCTGAACCGCGCAGGAAAACCACGGTACAATTAGCAACGGTAGCAAAGGTGATGCGCAGGGATGTGTGGAGTGAGGACTGGCGGCGTTCACTCATGAGAGGATGTCCCGGTTAAAACGCGCGCCTGCTGCTACCTCTGCTGCCGCCTCCCGTCTCTGTGCGCGCCTGGCAAGGGCCAAGTGTCCAAATGTAACGGAAAAATAAAAATGCTAAAGCCTTGCCAAACATTATTCACCGGGTTTTTATTGGCTCAGGGCAGAAGGAGAGAAACCAGCGGAGAAGACAACCGGCTGACAGCGGGAAAGTCACACGGTGACGTTATCTGGCCCAAGCGCTCGCGTGGAAGGGGCAGGGGGGAGCGAGAACTGCCGAGCTAAACGGAACAGCAGCCAAAATACATCCAGAGGAGCACCAGTAAGAGCTGACGGGAGATGCTCAGACAGAAAAACACCAGTCAGGTTTTTCCAGTTAAAAGGGGAGCGATAACTGCAGCTCCCGAGCCACGCACCTCCGTACCCTGACTCAGCCCTTGTCCCACCCTGTGCCTCCCCCCCAACAGCGCTAATCCCCCCCTCGACCCATCCCCTCGCCCAGTGCACG